TTATTAGAGATGCCATCTTGCCACATCTGGGGAAACCCGAATCGGAAAGCTTCTTGGTTTTCCCCACCCTGTTGAAAGTTCAAGATCTTGCCCCCCCCCTCGCCACACACACACACACGAGTCCATCCCATGGTCCAATCTCCTACTGCCACGCTGGCAGTTCCACCCATCCAGTTCCGGCCAGGTGCAGAGACAAAGGATGACCTTGGCTTTCTAGAAAGAATGTTGTTATGGCTACATAGCATCTAACCCCCATTTTCCCACCATAGAAAATGCCTAGCAGAATAATAGAAAGTGTGGCCGGCCAAAGATCCACAAGAAAAGATGGCTTGCAGGCCCGACAGGCAGGGTTCTCGGGCCAGATGTGCGACCCAGATGTGTTTCTATGTCCTTGCAAGCCACTCGCCTTCATCTCTCCCAGGTGTGTGGTTAAAGCAGCACCGCATCTGGGGGATATCCAAGGGAGGTGTCCCCCATCATCCCAAGTGGCCTCTTGCCACCCCACCACCACCACAACGATCTTGGGGAGCAAGGTTAGGGTCTTAGGCCCAACGAGTTTGCAACAGCCTCTCCGGAAACTTCTCCAGCCAGGAAGGTCTTACCTCCACCACTTTCTGGCTGGGGTCATACATGTGGAGGATGAAGGGAACCAAGTGTCTCAGGATTCGATCCCGCATCTGAGCCTTGTGCCGGATGTTCACCCAAGGCAGCAGCTCCCCGAACAGGCGGACGGCCAGAGACCGCTCCAGCTCTCGTTCCTGGACAGAAGGAGAAGGAGGCTGGGCGGGCAGAGGGGGCACCGTCTCTCGTGTGCCCTCCAGGAAGAAGCCAAGGGCACTGGGGGTGTGGGGTGGGGGTGTGAGACTAATTTTTTTTAAAAAATGAAAGGATAAAATAAATGAAAATCAAACATCCACATCTGTCTCTCCCAAGCCCTTGGGAAGAAGTCAGACGGGACTGTGAAAATCCAGTCCCAACATCTGGCCCGACTCTGGGACCAACCCCAATATTAATAAAATGAAAATAAAGAAGGAATAATGAAAAGAACGAATCCGTTAAAAGGAAAACAAGGGAACAAACTGTCAAGAGGAATAATTTGGGGTTCCAACTCGGGGGTTGCACGAGGATAAATAAAAAAAATGAGATCCAGACACCTGTAAGGAAAGAAAAAATATTTATTCCTAAAAGTAAAGATTTTTGTCTTTTAGGGGCAGCTGTGTACTAGTACAGAACCCCGCTCCTTTGGGGTGGCCCCTCAAATACTGGAATATTGCTATCATGTCCCCCCCCCCCTAGTCGGGGGTGAAATCCAGCAGGTTCTGACCGGTTCTGGAGAACCGGTAGCGGAAATTTTGAGTAG